AGAGAGAGAGAGAGAGAGAGAGAGAGAGAGAGAGAGAGAGAGAGAGAATATGTGTTACTTACTTTTCCTAGTTGTTTACTTCTCTATTTATCAGTATCAAACTAGTTAATATTTTGTTAGCATTATTTTGTTGGTCTCATGAACAAATTAGCCTTTTAAAAATTTCTTACCACAAAAATCTTCATTGTTTTTGTGAGTAGTTTCCCCAGGCTCAAATTTCCCCGAATTCTTTTGCAATACAGTCACTTCTTTCGTGAGCATCTCCAGAGTTCTCTAGTTTGGGAGACTCTGGTCCATGTAGGAAAGTCTTTGAGACCTGGGGTCTGGGCATAGTGCAACATGCTATTTTCCTTGGCTTTTCCTTCTGGAATCTCTGTCCTATGGAGAAGGTGCTATGATGGTAATATTTACTTCATCTTTTCTAGTAGACCCTCTAGCTAATGAGTCAGAACTTGGCAGAGGAACCAGCACTTTCAAACTGGGAACTCTGAGCTAGGGTAGATGGAAATTGCTGGTAATGTGGTGCTCCTGGCAACCCATCTTGATGCTGTATTGGGAGCCACACCTACCTGGAGTAGAGTTTCTCACAAACTAGCCTGAGAAAAGAGGGAGCTAGTCATGGCTCAGTAGCAGCTAAAGTGCCACAGACTCTCATCAAGATTTAGTATATTTTAGCAAATAATTGTTACTTCATTTTCTGCATGTCTTTGGTACAATTTTCATATTCTAAATGGTAGTTGTCAAGACCATTTCCACGATTTAGAATTGTTTGGCTGGGAAAGGAAGAGTACTTAAGGCTTCCAATGCCTTTGTCCTGTAAAGTGGAATTCTTTATTTAGTAACGTACTTTTTTGTACTTAAATTCATTATAAGTCAAATAGTAGTGGTATAATGGAATAAACTGAAGTCTAATAACAAGGAAATAATGAGATATAATATTATACTATTCAAATAATGACATGAATGAAGTTCTATATGAAGGTTATTAAAAATTTGTATATACAACTGTACACAGTCATATACCACATAGCAACATTTTAGTCAACCATGGACTGCATCTATGGCAGTAATTCCATAAGGTTATAGTGTAACTAAAATGTTATTTTGCCTAGTGTTGCCTTGGCCATTGAAACACCATCATAACAATTATGTTTGTGAATGCTTATAAAAATAAATCTACTATGTAGTTTCTGTTACTAGAGTGTATACTCTATCCACTTTTAGGAAGAAACAGCCTGCAGCAGAGTAATACATCTTGTGTTTACCTGGTGTCTTGAATGCACGTAGCAACCATGGAAGTTTGTTTAAGTACAGTCTGGTGTTCGCAAAAATCATTTAACGACATGTTCTCAGAATACATCCCTACTGTTAACCAAGTCATGATAGGCATATAGAACAGTCTTAATTATGTTAAATATGTGTGTATTTTTATATAATACATAGATAATATTTAGGGAAAATAAGTTAAATAGTTCACAGCAGTAATCTGTATGTCACAGAGCTGTTATTTTCTCGTTAGTCATAGAAGTCTAGCTTGTCAAGTTTTCAGTGATTTCATGAATTGCTGTGTAAATAAAAAACCCTCAGTTCTTTCTAAAAAAATATTTACAAAGAATCACTACCATTGTATATTATAATCACAAGTCTATGAAAATCTCTCTAGAAAAATATGTTATGTTGGGAATTAAATATCTATTGAATACTGAGGGTTATACTTGCAATATTGAATACTTTGAATATAACATACAATGATATGCGCATTTTAGGCTACTATAAAATTGTTTTGTTTTTGTAGTTTATTTAACCTTTAATTAAGCATACATATGTTCACTTTGGCAGTACACATACTAAAATTGAAATAATCCAGAATAGATACATCAACATTACCACTGCACAAGGAAGACATACAAATTCTTCAAGCATGTCATATTTTAAATAAATAAATAAATTAGCATGCAAGATATAAGGTTTATTATAGCATTTTCATATATTTCTTGTTCTTATTGGTGTACTCTCTCCATTCTCCTCTCCCCACCTCCCTTCCCTGTCTTTCTGGTCTCCACTTTGTCCCACAATATCCTCTTCTTCCTTAATATCATATATATTCTAATATTCCTTTTCCCATCTGCCACCTTATCTCTCTCATAGTCCTCTTTCTAGATTCATGCCCACATTCTCACATATACACATACATACCCACACATATGAGAAAAAACCACAATATTTGTCTTTCTGAGTCTGGCTTATTTCACTTAACATAATGATTTCCAGTTCCATCTTTTTTTTCTGTAACTGTCATGATTTCAATGTTTGTAGCTGAAAACTTTCTGTTGTATATATGTATTATATTTTTTAATTTATTCATCTGCTTATAGGCATCTAGGATGGTTCCATTTCCTAGCTTTTTGGATTACTGCAGAAATAAACATGAATATGCAAGTATGTGTATACTAGAACTTAAGATTCTTTGGGTAAAAACTCAGGAGTAGTATAGCTGGATGGTGTGGTAGTTCTGTTTTTATTGTTTTGTTTGAGAAATTCCCACATTGATTTCCATAGTGGCAGCACAAGTTTCTATTCCCATCAGCAGTGTATAAGGGTTTCTTTTTCTCCATGCACCAGCTAGCATTTGTTGATTTGGTTTTTGTGATGTTAGCCATTGTGATTGGAGTGAGATGGGATCTCACGGTAGTGTTACTACTGTCCATTTTCACGATGGCTTAAGGATGTAGAATACTGCTTCAAATATTTATTGGACAATTGTGTTTCTTCTTTTGAGAACTGTATTCAATTTGTTAGGCCATCTAGCGCCTTGGAGATTTGTTTTTACACTGATAAATCTTTACAGTTCTTTGAGTTTTACAGATATTAACCCCTGTCTGATGTATACTTGGCATAGATTTTTCTCACATTTTATATGCTATCACATCACTCTGGTGACTATTTCTGTTGTGCAGAAGTTTTTATTTTCGTTTTTTGCTTTGTTTTGAGACAGAATCTCATGTAACTGAGGCTTGCCTTCAGCTCACTAGCTGAAGATGATTTTGAACACCTGATATGCCTGTCACAAGCTTATGAGTGCTGGGATTATATGTGTGTACCACTATGCCTGATTAATGCAGTGCTGCGGACCAAGCACAGAGCCTCAGGCATACTAATCAAACACTGAGTCATATCCCCAGCTCAACTTTTTAATTCCATGCAATCCACTTGTCATTTCTTGGAGTGAGTCATTGCTTGTGCTATTGGAGTTCTTTTTTAGCATTTCTTGCCTATGATGGGATCTTGAAGTTTTTAACTCCTTGTTCACTACAAATTTGAAGGTGTTACTGGAAGATAAAAAGACTTTTCATCACCATGCGCCAGAAATCTTGATATTATTAAAATAGCTGCATTATTGAATTGATTCAACTCAATCCCAATCAAAAGCCCAATGGTATTTTTCACAGAACTAAAACAAAATTAAACAGTCTTATAATTCATATGGAAACACAAAAGATAGTACAATTCTAGCAGAAAGAATAATCCTAAAGGATCAGTATTACCTGGTCTCAAATTATATTACAGAGCCATAATGATAAAAACAATATTACATTAGCATAAAAATAGACATGTAGATCAACTGAGTAGAATATGGGACCCAGGAATTAACCTGCACAGCTATGGCTACCCACATTTTGACAAAGGTGTTAAAGCCACATACTGGTTAAGGGGTGGGGGGAGCTTTTTGGCAGTCTCACGGAGTCACGATGATGAGCTTCTACTGCCTTTGCCTGTCTTTCTGAGGCAGAAGGTCCTAACTTTTCTTTTTACTTCCCTTCCGCCTCTCTCTTTCAGATGCCAACAAGAGTCTTGGTATACTTTTCTCTAGATTCCTGTTTTTTTCTTTTTTTTCCCACACTTTTCTGAAGTTCCCTTTCCCTCTTTTCCATGCAACTGAGTATTAATAATGTGGCTGACCTTCTCTAACTTATAAATCTATAAAGAACTTCTCTATATAGTTCAAAAAGAAGACATGTGTTTATGGATTCTGAACCTCAATATAAACTAGGATGGCCTTGAACTCACAGAGATCCACCTCCTATGAGTTATGATAAAAAACATATGACACCACACCCAGTAAAACCAACTTTTTCAACAAATTATTCTGGGAAAAGAAGAAACCCTCTTGCAGGAGAATGAAGTTAGATTTACATCTTCCATTCCACATAAAAATCAATATAAGCAGCAGTGAAATGATGGTTTAGTGGGTAAAATCACTTGTCCAGGCCTGGGGGCCTTGGTTCAATCTTTAAAATAAAGATGGAGGGGAAAACCCAACTCCTAAAAGTTCTCTCCTGATCTCCATATGTATTCCACAGCATATGGGCACCTGTACACACAAACACTCACTCACTCTCTCTCTCTCTCAATAAAATTTTACAAAATTAAAAATAAATATGAGATTGGTTTTAAAAATAGAATTGTTTTGTTTGGTTGGTTTTGAGATTGGGATTTTGGTTTTTTTTTCTGTTTTTCTTTGTTTTTGTTTTGCAAGTTACTGTACAAGCTGAGTGACCAGAGTTTGATTCCTAGAAGCTACATAAAGGTAGAAGTAGAGAACTGATTCTACAAAAATGTTCCCTGACCTTTACATGTGTTCCAAAATACACACAGACACACAGACACACACACACAGACACACACACACACACACACACACACACAAATTTCTTTTCTGCTGGATTTTGTGGTGCCTGCCTTTAGTCCAAGAATTCAAGTGCCAGAGACAGGCAGATGCCTGTGACTTCAAGGCCAGCCTGGTATACTCAGAGTATTCCAGGCTGGCTAGGGCCATATGGTGAAACTCTGTCTCAAATTTTGTTTTGTGTTTTCCCAAAAACTTAAAAATGCATAGATGGTATTAATAATAACAATTATATAAACTTTATTATTAAAAAAAGAGCTAAAATAGTAAAAATGCAATCCTGAGGAGAATTCTAGTATACAAGATAAATCTATGAAAAGGTGTTTTGCACTAATAGTGCTTAAAGAATACCTATTTTTGATATGCATGTTATGTTTCTTCAAATTACTTTTTAAAAGCACTGTGGTTGGGCTGGACCACTATTGGATGTTGCTGATCTTTGACTGTAGACCCCTAAAAGCTTTGTCAAAACATTATGTCATATGAAGCATCAGAAGAATGAAAAATTACATTTTAAAACAAAATGTCAGAATTTCTTGTGTTTATGAAGTTCCAGACTTCATTTCTAGATTTTTATGTTAAATATGAAATATTTCACTATGCTTTTCTTTAGTCTTCAAGTTGTGTGTGTGTGTGCACATGTGAGCATGTTTGGGTGTGGGTTGGTATGTGCTCAAGCCTGTGGAGGCCAGAGATTGATGTTAGGTGTATTCATTAATTTCTATCCACTTTATTTTTTGAAAGAGAGTTTCTCGCTGAACTTGGAGCTCACCAATATAGTGAGATTAGTTGGGCAGCAAATCTCAGGCATTCTCCTACAGTCTGCTTCCCCAGTGCTGGGATTTCAGTCCCCATGCCTCTGTACCTTCTCTTCTTACACGGGTGCTGAGAATCCGAATTCGGTTCCTCACCCTTGTATTGCAAACACTTTAACAACTGAGCCATCTTCCCTGGTCCATGTTTTATTTAAAACAGAGTCTTATTGGGTCTCAAATTCAGGCTCGCCTCAAATTTATGGTGATTCTCTTGCTTCCCTAATGCTGCGATTACAGGTACGTGCCACCGTGCCTGGCTTGTTTTTCTGAACCTGTAATGCTAAGAATAGAAAATACAGAGCCTAATCCTCAACATTAATTTCCACCATAACAAAAGCAAGCAGCCAAACAAGAAACTATGGAGCCAAGCAGATCTGAAATACTAGCAGAAGAATATGGACTACAAAAACTGCTAGCTTAAAGGCTTGGGGCACTTTAGGCTGCAGGCTTCCTTTGACTGAATCCCAAAGATTCAAGTGGAGAAGCTCATTTCCTGTCATCTTCGTGGCCTGCTGTTTCTCCTGATCTTACTTTGTGGCTTCTGGGACTATATCCTAGGTTACTTAAATGCTTTGCCACAATAAGAGGGTATATCACAGATATCTGGTATTATACGTAGACGGCAAATGGAATCTTAAATGTGGATAAACAGTGCTGTGAAGTCTGAAATCTTTTTCTAAAGTTGCGCTCACAGCCTCATTAGGCAGCGTTTTACTAAACGAATGGGTGTAGCCCAGAAGCACTGGCATAAGCTGTGACCATTACTGTTTCTAAACATACACATCTTCACCCCTAGGCCTCATTTGAAGCTCATATCATTTGCTGATCTGTTTGCCTCTCTTTTCTATCTTATAGAACTTCATACAAGATTCATTAAGAATTTTCTTTTATCCTATTTATTTTTAAATATGTTTTTATTTAAGTGGATTTATATCACTTTCTCCCTCCCTTTCCTCTCTCCAGCCCATCTCAGGGACCCTGCTCCCAACCTCCCATGTCTCCTTCACTCTCAAGTTGATAGCCTCTTTTTTATTGCTTTATTTATTTACATTCCAGATGTTGTCCCCCTTCCCAGTCCCCCCTCCAAGAGTTTTCACATCATCCCCCTCCCCTTAGCCTTTTAGAAGTTGCTCCCCACTCCTCACCCACCTTATCCACCCCTACCTTAACCATCCGCCCCCCCATATGCCCCTTCCCTTGGGGCCTCAAGTCTCTATGTAATTAGATGAATCCTTTCCCACTGAGGCCAGACAAGGCCTCTGCTACATAAGTGCTGAGGGCCATAGACCAGTCCATGTATGCTCTTTGGTTGGCGGCTTAGTCTCTGGTAGCTCCTAGGGGTCCAGATTAGTTGATATTGTTGATCTTCCTGTGGGGTTGCTATCCCCTTCAGCTCCTTCAGTCCTTCCCCTAACTTTTCCGTAGAGGTCCC